AAAATACTTTTTGATAATTTTTTTAGAGATATAAAACTAAATTTGGTAAAAAAAAAAAATAAAAAAAATTCAAAGAGGAGATGCAATTAATTTCAAATAAATTATGATCACTATAAAGCAAGCATACATACATATTATAGTCTATGGTTAATAAATTATGCATAATACTAATAATAAAATGTTGATGACATAATGAGGCAAAAACGTGTGTACATAAAACAAATTAAAACATTAATAATTACAGAGGCAACCACACGATTTATGAATGGAGGATGGGAGTTAAGTTAGTCTTCGTCACACTCCGATTTGATAATAAATAATTTACTTTATTACATAAAATTATAGAGATTAACTTTTCTATGCAACCAATAATCTCAGTTATCACTACAAGGTTTTAATTTCGGTTAATATTTTCATATTTTTACTTGACTAGTACAATGTAAATAAATTATATTAGTCTTTTTAGCCTAGCATAAATACAAATTTATTTACCAAATAAAAAGCTATAAGAAGTTTTAAAAAAGGAGAAAGAAATCAGTGCTAGTAAAAGATTGCTACGTTTTCACTTATGTATTTGTCAGCATCTGCCATTTTCAGAGTTAAACTAGCATATTAGCCTTGCTTAGCTTAGCAAAGATGCTAATCTGGTTCTACTGGCTAATCTGGTTCTGGGGAGAAATATAACGGCTAATATGCTAATAGTAGTGAATGACTTAGACAATGTCTTGCCTGTATATATTTATATATTTGGGCATTAAATATTTTCATTGATGTGAATAGTTAGTTACACACAGTGTTAGCGAGGGTCTTACATTATAACTGAGGTTTAAGTTAAATTTCTTGGCCAACATTTGGTTAGTATTTGGTGTCAAATATGAAAATAAAGAGTAGAACAACATACATGTTTCCTAAAAATGGATTACTGACAACTGAGTGGAAAATAATTCAACAAGCGTTCATAATGGTTGATTCAGGTCCAGATTTTTGCCTGGATAGTCACAAGTTGGTCTGTGTGTGCTGCAGGCTGCAGCGTATATCACACAGGGAAACCTTTGTGCTCCAACAGTGTCATAAGTTCAATGTACGATCAGAGAACTCAGTCGTACTAAATGTTTACTCAAGCTGAACGAAAAACCACTCTGTAGATAAAACTGTATTTTCAGCACCTGGAAATATTGATGGATCAGTTTGTGGTGTACCTTGTCAGTACAAAGTACACCACAATCACTGACAATCAGTTGTCAGTGATTGTTAAACAAAGTGCAGTGATTGTTGGATTTAACACGCCGTTGTTATTTATTTATTATTTTTAAGTAGCTAGGAGGAGGCAGGGTGGCGGGACTTGACACTGAGGCTGGTGCGCAAGTTACTCAACAGCTTGTTGCTAGGTAACCAAAGAATGAATGAGTTGCTAGGTAACCAAAGAGCGAGTGAGTTAGTTGATTCCGCCCAGCTAGCTTAGCTAGCCAGGACACGTACATCTAAAGCTTTTTTTCCTGCCTATCAGTTCAGTGAATAGTCTATATATTGATTATTCTATCAGATGTATTATCTCTTGATATTGATCAAGTGTCTATCGCAATGTATACTGTCACTGATTTACTGTCCAGCTCTACCTAGGTAGGCATAACACCTGAAAAGTGGTCAGTTTAAGAAGCTTTGTCAGTCTAGTAATTTTTGTTGGTTTCAGTCTAACTGGTGGACCAGCTGCTTCAGCTCAGTGCCTCATGCTACCATGACTGTGAGAGGGAGGAGTGTTGGGCTTCCCAGAGGATAAACTCTGCTGAAAGACTGGTGCTAACTATAAACACAACCAGGGTTCACAGGAAACACACTGGCATTCTTCTTCCCTATCTGTCACTTGGTCCCCAATTTAGCTGCTCACTCTTTCCCATCATCCTAACATCGTTCTGTGTCGGCCGCACCCTATAAAACGCTAATATTAGAAGGGTTTATCTAATAACCTGGCAGCTATTTCAGAGTTTGATGACAACTTCCAACTGGAAAAAGCCTTGATGTATGCAAGCAAAGATATTCAGCTTTTTGTCCCATAATTTTCCTCGACTTTTACTCAAACACATGGTCACCATCCATACCTTCATAGGTGACGCTGCAGTAGGCATCACTGATGTCATCGTCCGGCGTTTGTAGACGCTCTGCACACAGAATGAACACACGCAGCATTTCTCAAGCACACACGAGCACAGGTCCCTCAGATCCCATCAACACTAACACACATGCTGTGGTCCATATATCCCAAAGACACATCTAGAAAATCAGGGAAGATCCATTTAAAGGTAGAGAAGGAAAGGAGAAGAGGAGGAATGAATAAGGGCTTGCAGAGTGACTGGTGGAGCAGCTGTCTCACCCCCTCCAATCTCCAGCACTTGCATAGCTGAGCAATCGTCCACAAGCTGACTCATGCACCGATACACACCGTCCCTTCAATCTCAGCTGGCTTAAAGGGCTACACACTCACAGAGTGGCCTTTATTTTCCAACCATCATCCTCCAAACAACATGCCACTGTTAATCTACACACTCCTCTGCTGGAACAATCACAGCATCAGACAGAAAATTAATTGGAGATTCAATTTCGACCAAATTCACTAGACAAGCAGGGCAGCTATGAGTATATAAATGATTTCATTAGCGCTGTGCTGAGTGTATAAACAGAAGCGTCAAGTAAAAGTGAATAAAGGCAAATTTTATATTTGAACCCTTGAAAAGTAACACAATTTTCCTCTTTAAATCTTTAAAATTATGTATTTTCCAGGCACATATAAAAATGTCATAATAACAAAACTAACTGAACAATAAATTGACCCAGACTTTGTAGCGATAAATGATAATATTGTTATTTAGAGACCATTTTCAAGTATAATGACAATGTCATAACACAAGAAGAACACATTCAAAAGTCAGTAACCTTTAAATTAAAATGAACATTTAAACACAATAAATCAGGCAAATTAAAATTGTTGAACTCATTTTAGGTTGTCATACAATTAATGGATTTATTGCTAATTGCGACAAACCAAGACACAAACTGTGTTTTTGTTTATTTCAGCCAAATTGTAGACATATTCATGACATGTTTGAGTACTTCTTTAATAGTTAAATAGATTTTGTTTGTATTAACAGTCATTATTTAAATGCTCTACAGACTGATTGGTTTTATTAAAAGAAAGAAAGGGTGCACCAATTTTCATGGCTAGTTTTCAGTGCAGATTAGATCTTGTGGTGTGTTCAAATAGTATGATTAAACAGCACTCCTTTCATTTATTTAAACTAAACTGTAGGCATATTCAGTCCTTGGATAAAGTGTTTTTTATGCCCTACTTCTAAACTAAGCAGTTGTGGCAAAAATACAAACTCCAGAAACTGTGGTAAGTACTTAAATCATAAGGCAGAAAAAATTCTATCATTATTGTTATAGACTGTAAAATTAAATTTACAATTTATTGTCCAACTACATGAATCAAACCCAGAAGCTCAGCCCTTTGTGTCACATGACCGAGAAAGTCCTAATCTCATGCTTTGGATTAATAAGCAAAGCAGAGAGAAAGGCAGTTAGGGGATTTCACAGTCTAAACTTTTGACTTCACAGACTGTAAAACTTCTTACAGTGACTTCGGTTCACATATTTTCACCAGCTGCCAAAGAATAATATTAAAAACCAAAGTGTTATACATTCAGACAAGAACAAATGATGTTTGCTAGTCAGTGCAGGCTAAAATATGTCAGGACAGGATTTCTGTTGCCCTTCTATTTATAATCCGACTCACTTGGCCGCAGGCATTTAGACTGTGTGTGTGTGTGTGTGTGTGTGTGTGTGTGTGTGTGCGTGTGTGTGTGTGTGTGTGTGTGTGTGTGTGTCCTGGTGGGAAGTTTGCTAACTTTAGAGTGGGGGGATAAAGCTCAGTATGTTGACCCTACATTGTACCTTGTTGTTTAGCGAGGACCACTTGTGCAAAATTCACTTTTTGTGCTTCCATTTGGGTCTCTCCTGTTTCTACAAACAAGCCAAGCATAAAAAATACAAACAAAATACCGCTGTTTTATGGTAATAATTTTATATTTTTAGGGGGCTGGACAACAGGTCGTTTTGAAAACCTTCTGATTATCAAGTCGCAGTGGCTGGGCACTGCCCGTTACCTAGCAACGCCAGACGAGCCCAGTCCGTCACTTAGCAACCCACGCGGAGCGCCACCCACATGAGCAGCGAGCTAGCTAACAGGTTTTACCGCTGTATTCAACGGGTGCTATAAAATAGGTGTTTTGTTATTGACTTACCATTCAGAAATCTCTTGCTACATTCTTAATAGTTGTTCATGAGTCTTTACTTCTGCTTCTGAGTCTGATTCAGGGTCGGAGGGGCGTGGCCAGCAGCAGTTTATTTAGCTTTAAAGTGACCAAAGGCTCTACAACTGCTAATTCTGAAAGGAGCACAAAATAAGACTAAAATCTTATTTTGATTTTAGAATGATTTTGTGTAAAAAATGTAATTAACATTTTATACAGCACATATATATCCTTACCTGCTCACGGAAGCACTTAAGTATCAAAAATATTGCTGCTATTCATTGCTAGTTAGAGAAAATAACCAATGACATGGAATGAGACCTAGGGTGAGGCATCAGATGAAGTCCTATTTCTGAATAATTACACAGAACCACCATAAAAAAAGGGATCGAATTACACCTTTATGTTCAATTTTAACTACGTGAAACAAACTTAGCTTCATTATATAGTCACAAATATTTAATCAATATCAAAATCAAGCACTGTTGCTTTGCAGCAAGAAGGTCTTTGGTTCGAATCCCGACTTGGCACCATGAGTTTCCTCCGATCAGTTCCGAGAATCATCCCTCCAACTCCAGTCTCTGACCGCAGCTGTTCTCCCGGCCAGCAGGCGGCAGTAATTCGGAGTCAAACTGGGAGGTGAAGAAGAAGAAGAACCGCTGACGCTCTCCAGGCTCCGCCGTTTAAGGTAAACATGTTATCAGCACAGCAAAGCCCGTTAGATTGCAAAGTGAACGATAGAACAATGATACCTCCGCAAGAATTTCCTGCTAACGTCTGTTAATTTTACCGGGACGTTACTAACGGTTTACCGTAAGCAACGATAGCTTCTTAGCTTGAACCTGCTAACATCACTGAAGGAAGCAATGCTAAAATGGTAACTTTAATTTTTAAGTTTTTCGTCTGTTTTGCCGAATTAGTTGATTCTGACTTATGATAAGCCCTCTTTCTGACATTATGTTTTTTGTCCTTCGTATTAACTGGAAGGGATTTTGCAGATTGTTTGAGCAAAGTAGTGTTTTGAGGTCACTGTGAACGATAAAGTGTTGCATTTATCGTCAGAAATCAATCTGTTATCAACACGAGATCGGTGTTACTTCCGCTAAACTGGTAGTTAGGTTTTACGTTTAAATTTCTGAGCGTTAATTCAATGGATTTTATTTATAATACAATAATTCACAACACATCTAATAAAAAATACACATTATAAACAACCATCTAGTTATCAAACAATTGAGTAAAGTTAATTTTATTGCTTTAAATTGAGAAAAAAAACAAAAGTTTTCTATCAAAGGAAACAGGCGAATTGCATTGAGTCATTAACTTGCACCGTATTATTATTATTTAATATAATGAAAGTTATATAAAGCTGTATCTCAAATAGTTAGAAAAGTTATTTCGGAAATTCAAAAAGTGCGCATTTATTACTATATTTCCCATGTTTATGTCTGTTAATTTTGATGATTTTCAGCTTACAGCTGATTAGAAATCATAAATTCAGTTAATCAGAAAATCAAAATATAACATAAAATAATAAAATGGGAGTTTTATTGCAGAAATGTCATGTTGTGCCCACAAACGTTTATTCCTAGAAGCTCGCTATTCGTTTTGTTTCATTCAAGTGTACTAAGGTGAAAGTTGAGTGGAAGGAGGAAGGGTGGTTGAAAATGAAGCACCATGTGAGAGTTTGTGGAAGATTAATTAATTGCATGATAAATTAAAACAAGTCCCTAATTTCAATGGTTTGTTGTTTTTCCTCTTTTCCATGTTTCTACCCAAAACTAGGTGACAAATTTGTTTACAGTCTTATAATTAATTTTATTTGTTGTTTCTGTTATTTTGTTTATTTATTTTGGATAGTTAAAATATCTTCTAGTGCAGTGTTAAATATTCATTAGAATTTAAAGTTTGTTAATATTTTAGGATATGTTCTTAGATTATTATTCTACTACCATTATATTACTTGAAAATGGTCTCAAAACAACAACATTATCATTTATCGCAATAATTTCTGGGACAATTTATTACGATTTTAATTCAACAAAGGCAGGCCTGTCGTGACAAGCCTGCCTTTGTTGAATTAAAATCATTTCTGACCACTCCCTGATGTTCCTGACCTCATACGCATCAAATTTGACCAGGGTGCCAAATGAGGGTGCAAATACTTTTTAATATGTTAATTTTGCTTAGTTTTAACATAGGAAGCTACCCTGAGACTCTTAAAGTCCTGGGATTAGTGAAGCTCATACATATACTTATATCCAAGTAGCATTACTTTTAGTGTCATATTAAAGAAACAAAAAAATCAAGGTGTTAATACTTTTATTTGAAGCCTGATACATACTTATTCGACAGCAGCCATGTGTGCAAAGAACAAATGTTCTTATAAGCCAGTTGTCAGAAGAAACTAACAAGCTGGAGTGTCTGCATATGAAACTGATTCAGCAGGAAAAGGCTTCATTCAGGGCTGAAGCAGGATGCTGCTTAGACTTACATGTCTCAGTTAAAGGTCAGTTTTAGCACCTATGAATAGAGAACAAACACATCAGCTAGACCATTTGCTGATCATAGAGAAAATATTGACACCCACCCTTGCAGGATAAGCAGTGATTAACCTATAGATACATCTCCGATGCATATGAGGCACATCACACCTTTCAGTTTCTTGGAATAAGAACTTGGTTGTCAGAAAGTTCTCAGAGTTGATTGACATGTTGATGTTTTGCAACCGTTTCCATTCACACCTGCGTGTGTGACGTGACAAGAGCTGTACAAAGAGAGGATGTCTCCTCATCCAAGTGGGAGCTCACTCTGACATTGTCAGGTGTGTTTCTCCATCTGTAGATGTTCAGTAAAGTATTTGTTCCTTGAAACTTTGACTCTCAGCAGCCTTATTCTGGAGATCAACTGAAAGTTTTCTCCAACACCTTTTCGCTCTCATTTTGACTCGTATGTTTTCTTTTCTTTTGATTTTAGGCCTAATGAGTGTTTCTCTCCGGATTGATCTCGTTCGGAAGAACTTGAAGATCTGGAGTTTGCTTACATCATGTCTCAATCCACCCGGAACCAGAATGGGCCGCCAGCGAAAAAACTTCCCAAGGGATTTTCTAATCCTGGACCTGCATCCAGGCTGACTATTCCTGGATCTTCATGTCTTGCCCACTACCTGCCAGCTCAAAACACATCTGAGTCGGATAATAATAAGTTGGTAGACCGTGTCAGATGTGTGGAACATCGGGGTATGAACTGGAAGACTTTCTTTAGCGAAATAAATGAATGTCCTTCCTCCTCTGCAAGGCCGTCAACATCCCGTGTAGCTCCTGATTTTGGTGATTTCTCCTTGGACTGGCTTCCCATCTTCAAACCAAATACTAACAACAATCCAGCAGAGTTTCCGTCCGGTTCTGATGGCAGCCTGGAGGCTTTGTCTGGTGGACAGAAAGACGACACGCCATCCATTCCAGGGTTAGGAGACGATGAAAACCCAGTTCCAGGCAGATTTGTTGTGTCGTCTGAGATCAGTCAGCTAAAACATACCAGAGAACCAGTCGCTGCGATTCTTCAGAGCTTCGGCCTCGAAGACGGATTGAAAAAACTCGACCCTCACATTTTGAAGCAGGTCAATCCTGCAAGGCTGTCCTGCGTCTTACATCAGATTTTTAGCAAGACGGAAATAAAAGGAAAGTCTTCTGAACCCCAACCTAAACTAAAAAGTATCCTGAAGCCAAGCAAAGTGAGGGTCTCTAGCTATGTGGGTGTAGAAAAGAACAACAACGGTCGGGTTGTAGATAAGTTACCACTAGATAAAGAAAGTATATCGGTGTTAGACTCAGAGAAGACATTTTTGGCTACAAGAAACAACAGTCGGATTGTAGATGAGCTACCACCGGATAAAGAAAGTACAACTGTGTTAGCCTCAGAGAAGACAGCTAGTGACCCACCTGAGCGATTAAAGGACGCAATATCTGCCACACATAAAACAATTTCTAACAGCAACACTGAAAGCAAACAGAAAAGAACTGAAAACCAGAAGCCAAAGCAGCAGAAAAACGTGAAACGGAAATCAGAACTGAAGCTGGACGAGCGTCGACAGAACAAGGCGGCGAAAAAGACCCAGAAAGGTTCTTCTGTCAAAGCGCCACTCGGCAAAAAGTGCAAAGCCCAGATGTCGATTTTAAGCAAACTGCCTTCGATAGTCCGGGAGTGGGTGTTGAAGCAAATGAAAATGTCGGAGGGCAAGCAGCCGACGCTGGCCATGATCGAAGACTATAATGGCGTCACGCCGAGGTTGTTTCCCCACCGGTGTTCCCTCTGCGGTGTAACCTGTCAGAGACCAGGGGTAAGAATTTAACTTAAACTACCTTCTGCTGCTGCACTGGATTAATTAATTGATTTGAATCATTTAAGTTCAATTAATACATTTTATATTAAGTTAATTTAATTTATTTTTTCTATTTATTATGATTGATGTATTCCAACACAAAGGGTTATCAGAAGTAGCGATTATTGTACAAAATGTAAAAAAATAAAAGCCTGATTTTCTATGGATAACAAGTAATTACCTTTGACTATTAAAGAAAAAAATGGTACAAGAACAAAAACTATTAATAAAATAAAGTCATGAAATTACAAGGATAATAGTCATAATGTTACGAAGGAAGTTATAACAACACAAGTCAGAAATCGTACAGGAATAAACTCAATATTACCAGAATAAAGTCAAAATTTTAAAAGAATAAAGTCATAATATTACAAGAATAAAATTAAAATATAATGAGAATAATAGTCATAATATAGTAGTCAGAATAAAGTAACACTGTTATGAGAAAAGTCATATTAAATGAATAAAAGTCATAATATTACAAGAAAGAAATTGTACGACAAAGTTTAAGTACGATTTTAGTCTCGTATTATTTCAACTTTATTGTGATAATATTATGACTTTATTCTCTTTTAATTTGGAAAATATTTTCATTAGTGGAGAAATAATGAGATAAAATTATTAATTTAGGATTACAGTCCTGATCAGGCCTTTGCTGACAGGATTGATCAGCAAATGTCCAATTTCACTCAATTTTATTCCCTTTGATTGGTGACATTCTTTACTGGTCTTTAGGAATTCAAATCATTTTAAATGTTTTGTTGTTTTTCTCTCTACAAGCTTTGGCTCCTCCACCTGAATGAAATGAACCACGTTGGGAACCGGATACTCCTGCAGCTGAAGTCAGTTTTTACTTGATTCTCCTTCAGACACTTTTATCTGAACTCATACTTGGTTAATTTATTGGTAGACAACCTGTTGTTTCAAGAAACTAACTTCCTCCTTTCCCTGGAGATTGTCATACAGTGCCTATAAAAACTATTCACCTTCTTGGATGTTTTTACCATTTTTATTACTTGTACAAATCAACCATGAGCAGAAGTCGACCAGTCTTTTAGTGTTGTAGTTCGGCCGCCATCCAGCAGAGGGCGCCGCTGGTCAGCCGTTGATAACAAAAGCAAAGATGGAGAGAGAAACGGTTCAAACGGAGCAAAATGCACTTTATGCGGTTTTATTTTGAAATATAAACACTCGATAAACTCCCTAGGTTTTCAATTTAATTCAAAATGACAAATTGTTTATTATTCCTGAAGAGAATACGGAGTTAATTCAAGAAATTGTTAAAATATTTTTATGTTTCTTGTTTGAAACAGGTTCAGATGTATATAAGAAACATAAATACATTTTAACAATTTCTTCAGCATATTATGAAAATGTAACCCTTTGTTATGAAAAGATGAGAAACCTACAGATTTTAAGAAAAATGGCTGCTTATCAATTGATCCTTAGTCGATTTATAGGCTTAATCATCTTTAGATTAACTCAGTTAACTCTTAACTTATAAATTTCATCCATAGTATTAACCTTGTTTATGGTAAAAAAAAAAAAAAAAATCCACATTTTGTAGATTATTATTGATTTTTAAAAGTAATAAATATGGTAAAACATGCAATTGGTTAATTTTTTGTAGGCAGTTTTACTTTTAGATTTAGGAGTTGAATTGTTTTGTAATGTGTTCTTTATGGTTCTTCTTCCTTGTGCTGAATTAGTATTTTTGGTTCCACAGATATCCTGAGTGGGTTGCTAAGATCCAACCACTTCCCAGGTAAACTTCTGAGACAAAAGCAATCGACAGCAGATTGCAATTTTTACTGATCTGATCCTCATTTCTGTTTCCTTTTTCTTTTTTTTTTCTTTTTTTTTTTGGTGAAAGAAAAAAAGATAAAAAGTCGCTCGTAGATACTAAGAGTTTGAAAAAGCAAAAAATAAAAGCTGATAGTCGCAACAACGAGTCCAACAACCTGCGGCATCACCAGAGTCGAAGATCACGATCTCACTCCCGCAGTCCAGGGCCTAATCAAAGGCCGACGGGAAAACGGCGCAGGTCCAGCACGGTCAGCTCCAATGGGGAAAAAGGAGAGCAGCGATCCAGAACCGACCCGTCTGTGGGGGAGAAAGCTGATCCAGAACCAGAAACTCCTGCCAGGTATACTCCAGAATCAGCCGCCGAAGTCCTAAACATGTTTGGACTGGACAAAGAGGACCTAAAAGAACTAGAGTCATACCCCGAGGATCAGCTGACTTTTGAAAATCTACATCTGGTTTTACGTGAGATTTTCCTGCGGAAGAAGAAACGAGCTGCAGAAAACCCTCCCGAACCCAAAACCGACGAACCTGGAGGTCCGGATAAAACGCCTCCTGGTCCTCTGAAGCCAGTTAAAGTGATTGACTACAGACATTCTGCTAACTATGTTACTGTTAGCGACTCGATAGAAACGACCACTGAGGATGATCCAAGGCCCGCTGGTAGGAAGGAGTCACCACTGGAAGAATGTGACAAACCAACACAGAAAGACATCCAGCCGCCCAAGTCTCTAAGAGTTACTCCTCAACCTTCTCTGAAGCTGACGTCCAAATCCAAAAAACCCAGCAGTTCAAAGGTTAAAGGTAAAGAAAAAAGAGTGCAAGACTTGAAGAAGAAAGCTAAACTGAAGCATAACATTAAAGCAACATCTACAACTAGGAAAGCTTTGCCGTGTGACGTTTCATATGCAAAACTGTTTCCGGTCAAAGTACCGCCTGTTAAGACCGTTACTTCCAACCATCTGCCAACACTCGCCATGATTAAAGACTATATAGGAGCCGCGCCGACGAGGTTCCCACACACCTGCTCCATCTGCAACAAGAAGTGCTTCCACATGGAGGTGAGTGGACGTTAGCTTCGTCTGAAGTTAGCAAAGCTTTAGAACATTTATTGTTGAGTTTTTCATTGAACAAGCAACGAGAGCTGAGAACGGCAATGACTGTTCGTATCCTAGCAACACAAAACAACACAGAAGACAAGATGGCGGCCAGCGCCGTAGCGATACGGCAAAAATCTTTCCAAAAATAAATCGCCCACTTCAACCCGCTGTATTACATTACTGGGCGATGTTTTAAACATGCCACACCCATAGGGGGCAGTGTAGGGAAAAGATAAAACCTCTACTAACCAATCACAATCCTTCAAAACAACGACTTCCTGTTGGGAATTAAACATGGCGCCAGGACATCCATTAGTTTGGACAGACGGAGAGGTTGAACAAATAGATAAACATTTATAAAGTATACGTGCTTGTCTTTGTGACAAAACGTAGAAAACCGACAAGGAATGTGAATAGTTTAATATCTAAAGCACTGCAGTATTAAAATGTCACTGTGTTTAAAAAGTGTCAGATGACTGATTTTGATTTAGGTTGAATCTTTGTGAATATGCTGTTGTTCTGGCTCCCAGGACTGGCTGTCACACCAGAACTCCAGCTTTCACCTGGAGAGCTGCACAATCCTCCGGACACAGTAGGTCCTCTACTAAACTCTTTCTTAAAATAAATAAGAATATCTGTAGTTTAACTGTTCTTCGTTTCTTCATGCATTTCAGGTGTTTCAAACCAAATGAACTGTTGAACTCAGATACTTAATATATAAAAAGGCACAAAAATAGTTTTTCTCACTGTTTGACATTAATAATTAAACAAAAGTTTCTGTTTTAGGTTATGTAAGATTACCAAACTTTTTTATTTTTTTCTGAATTGGCTGGATTAAAGTAAACAATTCTGGAATTAAAGTCGGAAGTCTGAAATTACCTTCAAAAGTATCACAGAAAAGTAAGAATTCTCAAAATTAGCCAAAATTTGCAAAGAAAAGTCAGAAATCTCACTGTTAGAATTTTTTTTTATTAAACTCAGAATTGTCAAATTAAAATGAAATGTTGAAATTCTAAAAATAAAGTCAGAATTCTAAGATTGCAGTCAGAATTTTCAAATTAAAGCCAAAATTGTCAGAGAAAAGTCAGAATTCTCAGATGAAAGTCGACATTTCAGATTAATAAGGGAATCTTCACATTTAAATCAAATTTCTCAGATTAAAAATTTAATTCTGACTTCTTTCTCACATTTTTGTTGAAAAAAAAATACATCTTTCTTTTGTTTTTTAACCCTTCCATGGTCTTGATGCTCAAGAGGAGCGCGGTAGATGTCGCGGTCGGGCAGCTGGAGGGGAGATTGACCCGTCAGACCGTCAGTTCCCAAAATCACACACACACAAAAACTAGTAAAATTGTGCCAGAACGCGAACAGGGTAGCAAGACAGCAGGAGGGCTTATTGGCTGAAATCCATTCACATAGGTAACAGCTGTTTATGCTAAGCTAGAGCATCTTAGCTGTCTCATCTAGTCACTCATGGATCGAACGAACATTGTTAGGAAAGAAGAAGAACTTCTGATGTTTTGTTTTTCTCCTCCTTGTTCCACAGATATCCACATTGGGATGGAGATGTTCTACCAATCCTCAGGTAAAATCCCTCCACTTAAAACAAGAAGTAAACTTTGAATCCTTTGATTTCCAGTTTTGTTTTAAATCAACATTGTTATAATTTTAGCGCTGAAGCTGAAAGTCCATCGACATTACCGTTCCATCGGCATGACGACAGCAACCTCCAGCAGTATTACGGCTCAGCGGGTCGAAGGAGCAGCTCTCGGTCCCGCTCTCGGTCCCGCTCCCGGTCCAGATCACCTTATGACCGTAGATACACCCGCAGGTTTGTCAGGAGAAAAAGGAGAAACAGTTTATCATAAATAAATCCGCCTAAGCCACATTCTGCTTCTCTGTTAGGTCTCGATCTCCATCTTGGTCGCCACGTCTCAAAAAGCCGTCCTCCCTTCCCTGCCGCTCACATTCAGGGAGTCATGAGAGACGGTCGTCCTCCAGGAGGAAAGACGGGAAACCGTCTTCATCACCCAGACGGAGCAACGAAAAACAGAAGCTGGACCACAAGAGCCGATTGTCCAAAGAGAGTTCAGGTCCTCGTTGTGAGAAATCACGGGGAGGGAATCTTCTACAAAAATCAGGTATTTTACCAGGACAGCAAAGAAAATAGGTTTTATTTGTAAGGTTGTCAATATAAAAAGTTTAATTCGTTAATATTACATAATGCAGATTAATCACCTACTTTCAGAGGTGGGTAGAGTAGCTAAAAATTTAAAATATGTTGAATATGTTCAGCATATTTTTACTCAAGTAAAAGTAAAAAGTACCCATCGAAGAAATTATTCAAGTAAGAGTAATAAAGTATTTGGTAAAAAGTTTCTTCAAGTACTGAGTAACTTATCAGATTATCAGTAATTTCATATTTTAAAATTACACCATCAGACAGACCAAAACATAAAGTTAATTAATACAAATACCATAATTATGGAATAACAAAAACAGACAAAAAAAACATTTTTCCAAATCTTTTTTTTTTTTTTTTCAATTCAGAACTTATCAGATTTTAACAAAGTCTGCAGGTGTGTCTGTGGCTCGTCAATTTCTGGTTAAAACATGTTTGTTTTTCATTCAGTGGGTAGAAAAACCTGAAATTTTACTCAAGGAAAAGTAGCAATACGTCATAAGTACAAAGTACAATTTAGTAAAAATACTCCTAAAGGTATTTTTGTCCCCAAAATTATTCAAGTAAATCTGATTAAATGTAACTAGTTTGCCTCTTTTGACCTAAAAGCCTCTCACTCGCAGAATGTTACTTAGGTCACATGGGAAGCGACGAATGAGAAAGTTTCCCGCGACAGCAACAAAAGTTGAACATTTCCAGCTTTCTTGTGTTGAAAATGCATCTGCACATTTATGTGCATGAGCTCAAAATTTCTCATAACAAATTACACCGGTTACTCGGCTGGATGAGGACAAGTCGCCTCAGTGCAAAAGTTTAATAGGAAATTAATGGACATTTCTAAATTAACGTAAAACAAAATGGCTTCCTCGAAACCTGAATATAAAAACCTGGAAAAATGAGAATCTTAAGCCATGTTTGGCTTGAGACAACAAAATATTTTCGTTGACATTTTTTGAAAACAGGCATACATTGGCTGTTTTTGATGTGGGCGGTTGCCCAGGGCAGCATCAGAAAAGAGGGGGACACCAAAGAACTAGAAAATAAAATATATCTTCACTGTCAGTTGAACAAGTTTGCTACCACTTGTATGCGTGTGCAGAGGACTAAGTTTCCCTTAGTTGTTCTTGGGTACTGGGCGATTATGTTTCCTGCTTTCTGCTACAAAAAAAATCAGATAATTGCTTGAATTTAATTGGTTGTAGTGGAACAGAAGGAGGGACTTTGTGAAAATGAGAATTGTGACTCTGTTTCTTTGTTTTTCTTTATCCTTCTTGCTTAAAATCTTTTTTAAAAGCGGCGCTTGACAGAATTTGTTCGACATACTCTTCACCATCCTGCAGTGATGCCAAGCTGGAGCATGCAAAGGAGCTGGACACGGAGCCGCATATTAAAGGGAGGAAGAACAGTGCTGGCAGATCTGTTGTCGGTGCTGAGGGGAAGGATTAATACAGTTATTGTTGTGTTTTATAACAAAGAGTTTAATAAAATATATGTGTGAAAGGATTTTGGTGTCACCTTGATGCTCACGAGGGGTTATTCGCCACTGAAGCAACAATAAACTGCTCTGAGCAAATGAAAAAAATGAGAAATTATATTATTAAAGGGCTAATATGTGTTATCCATCCACTTAGTGTCATTTTAAAGCACAATCAAGTAATTATGTTACCTTCAATTATTATACAAATTCTCCTGTATGTCAAACATTACTTATAAGAGATTTGACGTTATTTAACACCTTGAAATTGGGCCTCTGTCTCTTTAAGAAGCTCCTTTCAACAACATTCCTCCATTAAAGCTGCAGTATGTAACTTTTATTTAAAAAAAAATATATATAGGATTTTTACATATTTGTTGAAACTGTCATGACAGTATGATAAGAAACAAGTAATATGTGAAAAATAAAGCTCCTCTGCCTTTTCCCTATAGACCTGCCGTCATCTGAACAAATGTTCTGCTCTCAGTCACAAACAACCAATCAGAGCCAGGAGGAGGGTGTTAGTGCTGTCAATTACCCTTGTATACATCCTGCTCACAACCTCTTCTTTCTCTCTGCTACTCTACAGCCTGGCACAATGCTAAGACTAGTTAGCATGGGCACCCATTATGGTGAATAAAGGGTTTTTCTGTAATGGTAAGTTGTTTCTCAGTGATTAGCACGTTTAGCAGCGCGTACTCAAGGTTAATTGAAAGTGATAAGAGTCTCCTTCTCTGGCTCTGATTGGTTGTTTTTGACCAGGATTGTTGGATTTTTGCAGACTGAAGCTCAAGGAGGAAGTGGAGGAGATTAATTTTGTTCAGATTATCTGTACCATGCCGTCAAAACATGTTGATAGCTTTAACAAAGATTTTTTTTTTTTAAATAAAAGTTACATACTGCAACTTTAAGTCTGTTTATGTAATACCTGGGTCTAACTCAGACTCCTGGATGTTGACAAACAGCTGAGCATGGGGTCCTCTATATGTGCCAAATATTCATCAAGTGGCATTAAGGACCAGCTGACTGCAACGGGTAAGAGAGTTCATAAGGGTGGAGCAGCTCAGAGAGGTAGGATGGGGCAAAAATGAGAGCAAAGTGGAACTGGAGTCAGTTTCCTTGTTTTAATGCTCAAACTTGACCAAAAATGCTGATTCAGATGTTTAAAAGTGACGTAACAGAAGTAAGGTCTTTCTGGCCGTGGGAAAAATTAAATTTAGCTGTTTTTATCAATACTTAACTATAGCCACAGTTTTCTATAACAAATATTTGAAGCGCTTGCACTCTACCTTGGGTCAGTTTTACAAATGAAGAAAAACGTGTAAACTATTTTTAACTATATAACTTATAGCTTGTTATTGTATTTTTTGTCACCACCAAATTAACTTTGTGGATAAGAGTTAAACCACCATTGGTTTTGTTTTGAACTTTTTCCGCTTTGAGATTTAATTTCCCTTTGGAATAAATAAAGTATTTTAAATTCTCAATTTGAATAAATAAAAAGTGTTGAAACACTGTTTTAATATGAATAAACAAGCTTGTTTGGTGGTATAATCCAGTGTTTCCCAACCCTGGTCCTCAAGGCACACTGACCTGCATGTTTTAGATGTTCCCCTGCTTCAACACACCACATTCAGATGATTGCAATTCAACAAAAACCCTGTTAATCGGCCATCAATTGAAATCATGTGTGCTGAAGCAGGGGAACATCTAAAACATGCAGGTCAGTGTGCCTTAAGGACCAGGGTTGGGAAATACTGGTATAATCTATCCCCACAGCAGCAGGTGGTGGCATGCAGTCGTTTGAATGAATCAAAGAAGAAAGGACGGTATCAAATTAGCTCAAGAAAATAACGAGATTCTCTCCGGATTCCGCGCGACCTTATTTCCCGTTCACGCACACTGTTTGGAACGTTGCGTCATGACGTCTTTCTTGTGACTAACAGTCGCGTTTGCTAGCAATAGCCTGCTAGCTTGATGGAAGCAGAAACCGGAGAATAACCTGTTTAAAATGTAATTTTTAAAACTTGCACTGGCTAAATGTGACTGAATTAAGCCAGCGACGCAGTACGACTGGCTTCGATTGTTGAAAGTAGGTGAAATATATTTTTTTTGTTAGAGAATTTAACTTTCATTCGATACAAATAGACATTAAAATAGAATGGTTGTTACAAGTTTGGATGAGTTTTATGTTTACTACTAAATATTCCTCTGAGATACTGCCTAAATATGTTCTGCGTCATCTTTTAGGTCACTAATCTTCACCTCCTCTGAGAGTCATCTTCCTCAAACAACTGCAACAATGTCTTCAATTCCACAGGGAGGTCGCTGCAGTGATACTCTCAGTGACACTGCCTCTTTGGCCTGGCTTTCAATATGCAAACAAACCGAAAAAGATCACAATAACCCATCTTCTGGCTGCACAGATGGAAGCAGAAGTGTTTCTGGTGAAGGTGCAGACAACAGGAAGCCTCCTCCAAGTGCAGGTGCTGCTAAAACTCCAGAACCAGGCAGATCGGATCAACCCAAATACACAGCAGATTTAGCTACTGAGATCCTCAGCAAGTTTGGACTTGACAAGGATGACTTGGGAGAGCTCAATGCTTACTCTGATGATCAGATCACCCCTGAAAACCTGAAATACATCCTGATGGAGATTTCCATGAATAAGAAGAAAAGAGCTGCAGAGAAATCCTCTGAATTGCAGTCCACTATCGGTCTAAAGAGTAACTTGCATAAAACTCCTGTAAAGTCAAATAAAGTTATTGATTGCGGCGATTTTGGTAGTAGCGTTGCTAAAAAGGAGACTGGAAAAGCTAGCACAGATAAGAGTAGTGGTAAGTCACTGGTGGAAACTCACAAACCCAGTGAGGACTGGCTGCAAAGATGTGTGTTAAAGGGCAAAAGCAGAGATTTGGACTCTAAAACAAGCCACAAGTCTGAGATTAGTGAGCAAAATAAAATGGTTTCACCCACACATAAACCTGATGGGCCTAAACTCTGCAAAACTCTTCCTCCAAAGCAACCAGAGTCCACATCTAAATCATCCAAACCCAGTAAACCAGAACAGAAGAGTTCCAAAAGCAAAGAAAGCAAAACTCAGATAGAAGAAACAACAGCTGCTGGACAGAATAAGGCTGAGCTGAAGCGCGGACAGAAAGGACAGGATAAGTCAGTGATGCAGACTAAATTTAAGGGATCATCTTCTAAAAATGAGCCTTCACACGCTGTAATTTCAGCCAAACAGAAAACCGACAGGCCTAAATCCTGCAAACCTCTTCCTCCAAAGCAACCAGAGTCCACATCAAAATCCTCCAAACCTGGTAAAGCAGAACAGAAGAGTTCCAACAGCAAGGAAAGCAAAACTCAAATAAAAGAAACAGCGGTTGCTGGGCAGAATAAAGCTGAGCTGAAGTGTGGACTGAAAGGACAGGATAAGTCAGTGATGCAGACTAAATTTAAGGGGTCATCTTGTAAGAATAAGCCTTCAGATGCCACAATTAGAGACTGTAAAGGAATCTCACCGGAATCCTTCCCACATTACTGTTCGATATGCAACAAGGAAAGTCGTGACGTACAGGTGAGTGATCTACACTACAAAAACACAACATTTTACCTAGTATTTTTGACCAATTTCTAGTAAATATCTTATGACGTGTGAATTAAGACAAAATTAACTCACAAGAAACTTTTTCACAAGATATAGGAGCTTGTTTTAAGTCAATAATTAATGTTAATTTTAAAAAGGATGTCTTTAATTGGCAGTTTATTTCATTTATAACAAAATTTTTCCCATAAGGGAAATAATCTGCCAATGGAACCAATACTTTTTCATAAATGTTAAGGAGTCATTGGCTTAAAACAAGCTCATATATCTTGCTAAAAACTTCTAAGTTTGGTTTATCGTATTTCAAGAGATTTGTGTTGAAAATACAAACTGATAAAATGTAATTTAAATGTTTTTTTATTTTAACAGGCTTGGTGTTCCCACATGAAGACCGCTGATCATCGTGAGAAGTGCAAAACCCTGTAAGGTTTTTGCACAAAGTCAGCCTTTGTTTATTCTTTCTTTTGACGATTTTACTCATTTATTTTAGAAATATAGACTTTTTAGAAAGAAATGTTCATGTTGTTGAATATGGAACTAAGAGTGGAGTTGCAATTAATGGTTCACCAGTCAGACATGAAATTCCCACAATATAACTTTTAGTAAAAAGTCTGTAACGTATAAAAAAAAACACACAAGGTTTTTCTTTTTTTTGTTATGTAAGTTAATGTTTTATAGTGTCTAGAACGTCACAAATCAGCAGGTACTGATTTGTACCTGCTTCCCTAGCAACCAAGGGAAGCCCAGCCCATCGCCTAGCAACCCCAATGGAATTCTGTCTGTTGCCTAGCAACCCAAGTAGAGAAGAGTGACAAGAGATAATATTGTCTCTGTTTTAACCTGGAAATCCATCTTAGAGTTGCTAATAAGTGAATCAGGCCTGCACATATTGATTGACTGGTAGATTTCCTTAATCTTGGGTTATCTGCACAAATTTTCTAATTGTTGGATCTCCAGAAAAAATTGTAAATGTAAATCTTCAGACATCTGGTTTCAGCCGTATGTGTGTGTTCTTTTTTTTCTTCGTAGATACCCAGACTTGTTTTGTGAACAACAATTCTCCAGGTAAAAGTCTGTCTTCAAACAAATGCAACCCACTTTATCCTATGGATCCAAATGTGTTTTTGCTTTTCCACGTGTTTAAATAGAATAGACGCAATCTGGAGGCAGTATCAGGAGACGGGCAAATACAAGAGTGACTCTCGCTCACCCCGCCGCAGGAAAGCTTCTCGTTCAAGAAGTCTCGACCGCCGTCATAGAAGAGGCTCCAGTTCTCCCTCACCCCGCCGCAGGAAAGCTTCTCGTTCAAGAAGTCTCGACCGCCGTCATAGAAGAGGCTCCAGTTCTCCCTCACCCCGCCGCAGGAAAGCTTCTCGTTCAAGAAGTCTCGACCGCCGTCATAGAAGAGGCTCCAGTTCTCCCTCACCCCGCCGCAGGAAAGCTTCTCGTTCAAGAAGTCTCGACCGCCGTCATAGAAGAGGCTCCAGTTCTCCCTCACCCCGCCGCAGGAAAGCTTCCCGTTCCAGAAGTCTCGACCGCCGCCATAGAAGAGGCTCCGATTCTCGCTCACCCCGCCGCAGGAAAGCTTCCCGTTCCAGAAGTCTCGACCGCCGTCATAGAAGAGGCTCCGGTTCTCGCTCGCACAGCCCGTATCGTCAACACTGTAAATCCAGGAGTAGATCAATGTCCACCTCAGACAGTTCTAGCTCTGAGGACAGCAGAGACGGGTGCAGGAGCCCATCCAAGTCTTCCTGCAGTTATAGACACACCCTGAGGTCTGTTGGAGGAACTATTACTTTACATTGGACTCAACAGTTGAGATCTGTGTCATCATCCATTACTTTTCGTTCTGTTTAGGTCTCGATCTCGTTCTCCACGGTACAAGAAGTCCGCCTCCTCTCTCCTCCTGGACCACCTTCTGCCTCCTAGGTCCACCTCCTCCCAGGGGCCACCTCTCTCCTCCTCCCAGCAGAGAGGAGGACCACCTCTCCTGGGATCAACACTCCTGGCAACACCCCCTTCCTCCTGGGACCACCCCCTCCCTCCTGGGTCCAACTATTCCCAGGTACCACCTCTCATGGGACCAACTCCTGTCTCCCAGGACCACCTTCTGCCTTCTGGATCCACCTGCTCCCAGAGTCCACCTCCCTCCTGGGACCACATTCGCCCTCCTGGGTCCGCCTCCTCCCAGGGACCACCTCTCATGGGACCACCTCTCATGGGACCACCATTTATGGGACTAACTCCTGTCTCCCAGGACCACCTTCTCCCTCCTGGGTCCACCTCCTCCCAGGGACCACCTCTCATGGGACCACCATTTATGGGACCAGCTCCTGTCTCCCAGGACCACCTTCTCCCTCCTGGGTTCACCTCCTCCCAGGGACCACCTCTCATGGGACCACCTCTCATGGGACCACCTCTCATGGGACCACCTCTCATGGGACCAGCTCCTGTCTCCCAGGACCACCTTCTCCCTCCTGGGTCCACCTCCTCCCAGGGACCACCTCTCATGGGTCCACCTCTTATGGGACCAGCTCCTGTCTCCCAGGACCACCTTCTCCCTCCTGGGTTCACCTCCTCCCAGGGACCACCTCTCTCCTCCTTCCAGCAGAGAGGTGGACCACCTCTCATGGGTCCACCTCTCCTGGGTCCACATCCTCTCCTCTCTCCTGGGACCACCTCCTCTCTCCCATGTTCACCTCCTCTCCCCTCGGGGATCTCCAGATCTTCCTCATTCAGCGTTAAGGAAGCAGAGCTGTACTCTCCAGGAATGCCTTCCGAGAGACAGCTTTCACCCAAAAGCAGCAGCAAGAATCCGCTGTCACCAAGTGGAAGCGGCGAGAAACTAACGTCCGGCGAGACATCGGTCCCTCGGGATGAGAGCAGTGTAGAGACGCTGGTGAAGAAACTGCTTCAATCATCAGGTTAGACACATAATGGGGAATTGGATTAGCTCTAATTGAGCTTCCTGAAGATTAAATTACTACTCAGTTGGAGCTGTGATATGTAGCTTTTTTAAGTGTTTTTTTTAAACATTTTTTTTTTAATTGTCACCATGTTGTGACAGAATAATATGAAGCAGATAATCTGTGAAAATTCCCTCACCTCCTCATAGTACCACTATATTTCTGAAAAAACTCCCCTCTCCCAGTCAAAAACATCCAATCAGTGTCAGGACGTCGGTGTTAACTGTCAATTAAACTTATGTACATGCTGCTAAAAGAAACAATGGTAACACTGTCTTTGAAGGGATGTGAATAAGACCGTCATGACATTGTTATAAACATGACATAACACCTGTCATGAACATCAGTAAGTCTTCATGAATATTTGACTGTTGTCATGAAGTGTCATTCAGTAAATCATGACACTTTTAATACAAAATTGAACATTATTCAAAATTGTCTTCGTTATGACAACTTGTCCTTAACCAAGAAATCATGATTTGACATAAATTTGTCATAATAGTAGTCATAATGATTTAATTATTACACTAGCAAAAGCTTTAACAAAACAATAATTAATATTTCCACTTGTCCTACTTGTTTTGTTGAAATAAAGCAAAACAAGTAGGACAAGCAATAAAGATTTCACTAAGCTTTATTACACGGTCAAATGATTTAATAACAGACTCATTAACATTTTTTTTTACATCAACTAAAGTGGAACAAGTAGCACCAGTTATGAATTAAGTGTTATTACTGTGTCATTAATATTAACGGTTACCTCAAGTAAAGTGAAACAAGTAACAGTTATGACAAAGTCATTAAGTGTCATTAATATTAACTTTTACCTCAAGTAAATTGAAACTAGTAGCAACAATAATGAAGATGTAATTTAGTATTACAGTGTCAAATGCAATGCTAACAGAGTTATTGATTAAGTCTTACCTCAAATGAAGTGAAACACACTGGACTACTTATAACTACCATCATAACTGGAGAAAAAACCCTTTGCACATTGGAATAAAACAAAAGATAACTTGTTCTAAGATAACAGAGGGTTTAACATCTGGTCAGTATATTGTTACTCTGAAATGCTGATTGAAAAACTAAAACAGACTTATTCTTTAACTTAAGAAAATAGGTTCTTTCAACAGTAACATTTTTGCTTTGATTATGTCAGCCATCTCCTTCGTAATAGTCTTCCTGTAATGCTCTGAAAACAGGAGATCTTCTTCTTGTCTTCATTTCCTGGAAGCAGCTCTTTGAAGGTGTCCAGAAATGCTCAGAAATTACAGCTGTTCTTGCAATAGTTAATCATGGCGAAAGCCTTTTCATGAATTCAAACTTGGTGAATCTCTTCTGGACATTCTCATACTCAATTCATTGTGGTCACTTAAAAAAAGAACAAAAACAAAAAACAGCGTCATCATAATTCAGCATTTAATTAAATACGATTCCCTTTCTGCACACTGTCAGAATGATAGACTGGCAGACAAATGTACAGTTAACATGACTGGTTGTTATAAAGTGCAGTACAATTATTTCTTAATACAAGTAGTGTAATAACTAAAGCTGAACAAAATGACAAGTTGTCATAACGAAGACAATTTTGAATAATGTCAACTTTGTATTAAAAGTGTCATAATTTACCAAATGACGCTTTATGACAACAGTCATAAATATTCATGAAGACTTACTGATGTTCATGACAGGTGTTATGTCATGTTTATGACAGTGTCATGACAGTCTTATTCACACCCCTTCAAATAAAGTGTTACCGAAACAACTTAAAGTTCAAGGAAAACTTTTTATCCATCGTCATCAGTGGTCATGCTAACTAGCCTTAGCACTCATGGCAGACTCTGCCATGAGTGTGAGGAGAGTGATTGACGGCGCTAACGATTTTGGCAAATATGTAAATAAAACAAAAACATTTTTATTAATAAAAGTTACATACTTCAGATTTAACCAGAAGAATCCAGACTAAAAACATGATATATTTTTTCCGTGTTTTGCCATTGTTTTCCTCTTTTACACTAAATTCTTTGCAATTCTTTAACTCTGCTACATTAAAGTGTGTTTTTATCTGTCTCTCTAGCTGTCCAGTCTTTGTCAAAGCAGCAGATAGATGTGGAGAGCCTGGTGAAAACTCTGACTCCGGTTTTCCTGGACGAGTTCAACAAATTAACCTCAACACCTGGATCATCAGAGGCGCCTCAGACTGAAAGCACAGCCGGTTTCCTGCCAAATCACCAGGTTTCGTTATTTAAAATTACAGCTATCCATGTTATGTTGTTAAAATTATTTTTGTTATACATACAGTGACAAAACTTTTTTTTTGACTGCATACTTGTGACAAACTGCACACAGCTGTTAAGTTTTGTTAAATTGTAACTAACCCCCCTGTGGAAGCCTAAACCCGCCCCGACAGAGTTTAAAAAATTTCACTGAAGTAGACGGAGCCAAGACACCGATGGGTGTGACCAAATGTGGGAATGAGTGGGAACAGAGAAGCTCTGTCGTCAAATTAACAACTTTGCTGCTACGTTTAGCAACTTCTCAGACCCTTCATGATATTTTTCCAGAAATCTACTATTCCAACTCCTAACTCGCCGGTCGTCTTACATTTTATGACTGCATCGCTTTCCTTCCACTAAAGTTTGAGGTTTTAATATGAATTTAAAGATGTTCAAAGATGTAAATACAGCACTTGACAATTTAAGAAGCAGATTTCATACATTAGATATTTCTGTTGTTAGATGAAAAGCTTATCTATTGTATTTTAATCAGTTTGCTTGCGTTGAATAGAATACTTTCTATTTACAGTCTTCTGGACCCCAGAAGCCTCCTGTGACTTCAACTGAGCAGAAAATGGCTATGGAAATGTATGATGTATTCTTTATGTTGATATTTAATTTAATCTGTCGTCCTCGTAATATTTCTGATGGTTCACCCATTTGCTCCTTTAGTTTATGTTTATATCTGAGCTGACATCAGTTCACTTTGTTCCTTACAGGAAATCTCAGCCATCAAACAGAATTGAAGCCGTGAAAGTGAAGGAGAAACCAAAGAATGAAACTGAGTTAAAACGTAAGTGGGGAACTACTTAGTGGGTATAGAAAGGAATCTTTGTTGATAATTTTTGCTTTTTATCACAAAATTTCTCTTGGAAGCCTTTTTTAATAGCTATAATTTGGGTTATTTTGCCCTTCAGAAAAGTAAAAAAAAAAATAATAATGGCGTTTCATTTATTAACTGTTTCAAACTGGATATTTAATTAGCAAGCTAAATATGTAGTTTATAAGATACATATTTAGCTTCAAACTAAATATTTAGTTAGTAAGTTAAATAATTAGTTTACAACATACTTTAACTTTTTGTCAGCATGCGAAATATTTAGTTCGTAAAATTTAACTAACTAAAAAATTGTTTGATAGCTAGCTATTTAGTTAGAAATCTAGTATTAGTTGAAAGCTAAATATTTAATGTGCAAAATAAATTAGTTGGAAATTTAATTATTTAACTTCAGATTGAATATCTAGTTATCAAGGATTTAGTTAGCACAACACATATTTAGTTAGTTGTAAACTAAATGTTTAGCTTGCTAATTCATTATTGTTTAATTATGAATACATGAATGACTTGATGAAAATATAACTTTGAAAATTAGCCTCCATTTTTTTCTCTTATGACAAATTAAGTCTTAATTGTTGGGGACACAAAGAACAAAATACTGTCTGTTGGCGAAATTCCAGATGTTTGTGTTGGGAAGTTCTGGTTCTTTGGTTCATTTGTTTTTATCAGGTTTAAGACGAACCAAATGGGATATTTGATTAATATCCGTTTTCACCTGTGACACATTTTCTGATTTAAAGGTCCGGCTATCACACCTGGTGAAAGTAAACCAGCATCAAACAAAAATCCGGCGCCGGTGATTTCCTCAGATGATCTGACTGTTGGGGAGAAGATAGAAAAATGCTTTGATCCCAAACTGCTTTGTATGTAAACATTACAATTCGATTGTATTCATTTTAACATTGTTTTGTTTTTTACTTTATTTATTTGACTCTATTTTCCAGGGCCTGTTGAATCCAAAGGTTCCATTTTAGAACCAGAAGTAAGCTTTCTATCTGTTTTTATCAGTATTCCTGAAAGCCGAATTCACTTTTCCCCCTGACCAAGACCTAAGCCAGTCAGATTTAAAGATGGCCCCATTTTCTACCTCATTCCACAATATGTGATGTTTGGAAACGGCAGTTAATTGAAATCAAAGTCGCCTGTGAATGGTGGACTAGACACACAAAACATGAGTAAAACACCTGAGAAACTTTATGCTCACAAATAACCCCCAGATAGGCCTCTGTGATCTGATCTACATCAGCGGTGTAAAAAGTTTGTCGTTTGTGCGAACCCCCGACTGCAGTTCAAAAATGATACAGATTTGGTCCACAGATGCAGACGAGACTTTTATTTTGTAATGAGGGTAAAAATTACCAACATAATTTTCTTACATTGTGAAGTACAACACTAATTATTCATCTGTTTATAACCATGTCGTAACAAAAGATAAAACCAAGTTTATCCAGAAACTTTTACTGAAAAGCCAACTTTGCTGCACCCAAATCAGCTTTTATTCATTCTTAAACTTGGCTAGATAATAGCAAACATTTTGAAAAAGTTTGACACAAACCCTGTTCTTATTACTTAAAATAAATTTAACGCTGTTGCATAAAAAAAAGTAAATTTTTGCCAAAAAACAGAACTTTTGAGCGTAATATCATAAAATTTCTAGAAAAATAAGGAAATTTGCCAGAAAAAAAGTCTGTTTTATATTACCAACAGACATTTTCTATTAAAAAAATAAAACTTGGAAATTTATGAAAATATTTCTAGAAAATTCATGAGATTAATCACAGAAAGGAGGAAATTTACTCTTTTTTTTTTTTTTCTATCTACAACGGACCTAATACACAGTCATAAAAATCCTTGTCAGGTTTTGGATCTACAATAAATATCGAGCTACTTTACTTGATTTCAAGTAGGGTTTTTTGGCCCACGAATACTTTGGAGTCAACAATTTTGTCTCACTTGGCAAAAACTTTGGTCACCTCTGATCTAAATCATATACAAACACAAACTGTGTCCTAATCAACACAATGATGTGGTTTTTCCCTCTCCTAACGTAACTGCTCCGTTTAATCCGAAGCTCTTGATAACCAACCTTCCAAAGTATTACGACGGCTGCTACACAGAGGATGATGTCGTCGCTCTCCTCCAACCTTTTGGGTTTAGGAACAACTCTGACATTTATGTGATTCCTCAGAAACAACTGGTAAGCATCTTCTGCCAAATCTGCGTTTTGCCACTCAAGTTTTGGTTTTACCGGTTGAGCACATTTGATAGATCCAAGTTTTGATGAGCTTTCCTGTTTTGTTGTTCTTCTCCTTGCAGGCTGTTGCTTTCATGCCGCAGGTGAAAGGGCTGAGGAAAGCTCTCACACAGTTTAGTCGCGGCATGTTTTTCAAAGGATCTAAACTATCCGTACAGGCTTGTAGAGCAGTGGTAGGTGTTTCAGTGCTATACACACTTTATAAACGCTGGATGATGCTAACAGTGTGTCATTGGATGACCTTTTTGTAAAAAAATATATCTAAACTCTGTTTTCAGACTGGTTGGAAACCTGGGAAGCCTACATCGGTTAGTATACACAAAGATCAGCATGTTCTGTAGTGAATTACTTCTGTCTCCATAATCAATTAATCTATTAATTACAATATAAATCAAAACAAACTCAATCATTTCCATTTGCATGATTCGGCGTTTCTCTCTTTCTACCAAAAACTGAATGACAAAATTCTTCCGTCTGGTGTTTTGGTCTCAACTAAACATGTTTTGAAGGATTATTTAATCTTTGAAGTTTATTTGCAGGCTTCATAATTCATATTATTAGTTGTTTTTGTTTATTTTGGATATTTAAATATCTCCCAGTTCTAGAGTTAAATATTCATTAGAATTTAAAGTTTATTGATCTTTGAGAATGTCTTGCTCTATTATTCCTTTATTACATCATATCAGTTCAAAATGGTGTCAGAAGTACAAAATATCATTTATCGCAATAACTTGGACAATATATCGTCCAGCAAAACGTGTCACTGTGACCGGCATACTTCTTCATTCATTCCTAAAAAACCAAGTTTTCTAACCTTGTTTCAATGGGGAGAAAAGAACCATTAAATGTGAAAATGCTGGTTTGAACAAAAGGTGACCAGATAATTGACTCTTTCATTGCTGATTTGTTGGAGATGATTTCCAGCCTCACCAGTCTGTCATGCCTCTCTTTAGATGAGCCGTCAGATGTCTGTAGCTGCTAGCAGTTTTATGTTTTGACACAGTTGAGCTGCTAGCAGCAGGGCCTCGCAGCAAGACCGTAAATGGCCCCCAGGTCACACTTTGAACATACCTAGGCTAAAGACTTTCAATAAGTTGATAAAGTGTGTTTAAAGTATGTTATTTATTCATGTTTCATACCTTCAACACTTACTCTGGGCACTTTCTGTTTCAGCTTTGCCTTTACAAAGCTTTGATGCGGTGCTTAAAACATGTAAGTAGTACTAAAACATGAATAAATATATTTATTCTTTATGCTTAATTGAGTTCTGAGCATAGGTTGTGTGTTCAGGCGATGATCCGCTATCTAACATCCTCCTGAGATGAACTGAGAACCATCAGCTGCGATTATCAGGATTGTTTCGTATCAGCTCTGATTGTTCACTCTCCGTTTTTAGAACATGACTGATAATGGAGAAAGAATAATCTGCATTCATCACATCTCACCCAGCGAGGCCCGCGACCTCCGGACGGCTCTGAGGAAAATTGGTTCTGTGAGGAACTTCCTGCCTCTGCTCAACAAGGTGCAAACACACACAACAGGCACAAGGCTCGACAATATGTTAGGAATATAATGTCGTTGTGCACAATTTTTATTATGCAAAAGACGGTTTGAAGTGTTAAAATGGTTGGTTACTACCAGCTTTGGGCGCTGCTAGCTAAAAGGTTAGCGGGGCTCAACCTAAAGCGCTAACCATAAGCACAGAGTATCCAAACATTGTGCTCAAGTAAGAGCAGGACTACTTCAGCTCGTCTTTACTCCAGTTAAAAGTCCAAGAAATTTCTTAAGTTAGAGTAAAAAGTATTTGGTAAAAAAAATCCACTCAAGTACAGAGAAACTGATCAAATTATCAATCATTTAATATTTAAAAATTACATCATCAGATGGACCTAAAAGTATTTTTTTGTCAAACAAGTTACTCATGTAAATGCATCTGAGTAAATGTAACTAGTTGCTTCCAAACTGTGCATAAGCATCAGCACTGCTAACTCTAAAGCGCTACACCAACAAGGTACGTAGCGTAAGCTAATGCTAGTGCTGCACAGCATTATAGCTGAAGAACACGAGGAGAGGAAACGGAACTGCTGTGTAAACAGCCTTCACCCCCTTCAAAATAAGAGCATGAACACAACCGCCTAACTACTTAAAAACATCCTAACCAAAGCTTAAGTTTGTGAAAAAGCCACTTAAATCAGTGCTTCAGCATTTATCCAGAAAAATTAATTTAGTGTAAGCTAATTGTTTTCAACTTAGCAAAAGCTCTTGAAAACAAAACGATGTGCTCCACTACTAGTGCACTAGCAGATTAGTGGAAATGTGCTGCCTCTTTCTAAGTGCTTATGCTAATGTAATATTTGGACATTTAGAGTCTCAGATTTTCGGAAGCTCACCTCTGACCACAATGACTTTGCCCAAAATGGTAAAAGTTGCAAAGTGATGAAGCACAGATGACAATAAAAAGAGGAAAACAGGCACATTTTGTAATCACAAGATTTTGTTATAACGTGCAGCCCTGATAGAAAGTCGTCGATTTTAAATGCGTCTGTTTATTCCCTCCGTCTGTCTCTGTGTGTGTTTCAGGTTTTTGTTGAGTTTGAGTCGAAGCAAGATGCGGATCGGCTTGGAGTTTGGCACAGCTTCCTGAAACGAGGCCGTAAACACACCGTGGAAAGGCTGAAGATGGTTGTGGCCTCCAGTGTAGCTCTGCGTGAGTTTAAAGAAATAAAAAAATTACACAGTAGATTCTCTTTAGATTACTCTAAAAATGATTACAGTAATATCTAATGTAAAACCCCAAAACAAAATTAAAAAAAAATAACTTTTGCTGATCTAAGTTTCGACCATTATTCTGAAAATCTGAAGCAGTCGGCTTCACGTTTGACTTCTGGTTGCAGCGACATGTTGAAGACACACCAGCGGCTCTCCTTCTGTCACGCATGCGCTGGAGACGATTCTTCACATGCCGTCCGCTGCAGCGATGGAGCGATTCCTTTAGCAAAGTGAAACATGGCGATGCAGGCATTACGAATTCTGCGCAGTAAAGGGAAAAATAATGCACATAAACCTTTGAAGAATAACTCAAAATAACTTCTTTCTCGTTCTCTTTGTCGGCTACGCTACACAGAGACACGTTGCCATAGCAACTGACAACAACGCCACCACACGTTTCAGGATTCAACACCAAAACGCGCTCAAATATTTCACACACCAAGAACAGAACACTCGGTCCATTACAGTTTAATGTTTCCTGGGTTGATGTTTATTTTGCGATTATCAATAAGCGATCGCTGTGGTAGACTAGCTACCGCTGCTATCAGCTCTTCTTGTGGTGGTTGATGAGCTAATAAGCACCTGCTCTACCGATGATCTGCCAGAATTGGTGTATATGTCGCCATTTTTTTTTTACTTTTGTAGCTGAACTGAAGCAGATAGCATTCCACAGCACATCTACATGTTATGTGGTCAAAGTCAAGCTAGCATAGCTGACCTACTCCCTTCAAAAAGTGCTAATTTTTTCTCCCTAAATAAATTTTTTCCCCCCTGACCTTGTTGTCTAGTTGTTGTACTGTTGACAGTTACTAGCAAAGCGCTGCATCCCTTTTACTTTCATATATCAGGTGTGCATTTAAGATTTAGCCCGTTATATTGACAGCTGTCTGTAATGACCTGTGTGTTCATGTTCAGCCCCCAAGCTTCCTGCTCAGGCTCTGCCGGACGCCAGCGACGCCGTCGCTACTGCGAGGGTCCCTATTGCCAACGGTGTCATCAAAGATTGTGCCGATCCTCCATTTTGGGTCACGATGTCGACGGCGCCGTACATGTTTCCCACCATGTCTCCGTGGTTCGACATCCCTGGTAACAACAACAACTTTCTACTGAAAAAGACTCATTCAGAAGAAGCTAAAAGCAGACCGACCGAATAATTGTGCTTGTTTTCCACCTCTAGCTTTCCAGACGGTGAAAGAGGTTGGCGACATAAAGGTGACTGCAGCTTTCTATTTTTGTAGTTTTTATATCATTTAATGTCCAATAAGTCGTCCTCAAATTACGTAGCAATGAACGTCTTGATGTGAGACGTTTTACAGGCTCTTAATGTAACACAGATTGTGTGTTTTTATAGTGATTTAAATACTTACCAGCTTTAACAAACGTGTCCATATGTCAGTTTTTCCTACTGAATGAAAACGCTGACGTTAAAAGTTTATTTTAGGATTGTGCCAAAAACTTTATTTTTACCCACAGCATGTAAGAAAAGAGGCGTTTGGTGTGCCGTCCTTTAAAGTATTTTAAATGTTAAACTGTCTTCCTGCAGAAAGCTCTCCCTCAGGCCTCCCAGTTCTCCACCGTCATGCTGACTGGTTTCCCTCAGTCGATAAGGAGTCAAAGTTTTGTGGCCCAGTTGTTCTCGAGTTATTTCACCAAAGGTCACTCGTGGTCTGTGAACGTCCTGTCACTGCAGAGGAGGGTAAGGAGGATGAGAAGGGTCCAGATGGTCTAGTCCAGGGGTGTCCAAAGTGTGGCCTGGGGGCCATTTGGGACCGTTGGACTGATTTTATTTGGCCCCCAACAACAATTCAAAAGTGTTGCAAATTTGCCATTGATGCAGATGAAGACTTTTAATTTGTAATCATATCGTTGCCAACGTGATTTTCTTACACAGGAAAAATGTAAAGTACAAAACAAAGTATTTGTGTTTTTATATCCAAGTTTTAACAAAAAGTTTATCCAGAGACCTTTGCTGAAAAGCCAACTTGGCTTTTATTCG